GGGAGGGGAGGATCGGAGTGGGGAGGGGGGGAATCCCTACAGGGAGCCGTGAGTGACAGTCCCTGCTCTCTGCAGGGAGGTGATGGGGAAGTGAGCGAGCGACGGTATGTGTTCGCTCACTTCCCGATCTATTGAGCCGACCTGTGACAGTCTCATTGTCACACGTCGGCTCGTACTATAAGGATGAGTGATTTTCACTCACCTCATAGTTCTCCTTTAAGTGCCTAAATGTGATTTCCTACTGGCCTCTTGTAGTCCTTGTACAGCAGGCAGAGTGTGAAGAGACAGAAGCAGCACAAGGAGACAATCAGTCATGTGCTGGCAACGAGCATGCTAATAGGAGGAAAAAGCAGAGTGGCTGAATGATGAGCTCATCACTGTGCTGCTTCTCCTATCACTTTCCAGTCACAGGCATGGTGCTGACCCGTGAAGGCCTAGCCTCAGAAGAAGTAGATTAAATGATTCTAGCCATCAATGAACAAGGAAGATTGGAAACGTGTTGTGCTGGAAAAGATGTACTGTAAAGGGCTCCAGACAGAAGGTGGGTATTGAAGTAGACGCTTGCAGAAAGGCCTGATGAAACGTTGGAATGTTGAACCTATGATATGATGTCTTGACTCCCATGGAAGACCTATGAGTGCCTACCAGTCCTTTGTACAACTACATTTGTGTGGAGCGCCAAGGAAGTATTTGTTGGATTGATTGCTGGTACCACTACTGTATAAAATATATATATATGATACTTTGTAACAGATTCCAATAACGCTATAGAGTAATGACCTCCTTTTAGGCAGGAGTATCAGGGCTATTGGGCAAATAAAATGCTAGATATCAATAGGCGTAAAGCCACAAACATTTTTGTATTACCATTTTCTTCTGAGCTGCATATGAGAACTCATGAAGACCTACCAATCATGAACTTCATATTGCATATATTTTACCAGTTCATACATACATACATGCATCCCTAGCTGCACAACTGATAGTCAAATGCATGACCATAACCTTTCTTTAGAACATTTTGTTTGTTTGTGACCTTTACATTGTTCACTGTTTTAAATGATTTGGTTATGTGATTGACCATGTCACTTTTCACGTATTTTGCTGAGTTGCTCTGTGATTGACTGTGATCTCTAGATTTTATTGAGCTGGGAAAGGATTTTACTAAGGCAGACTCTCTTGGGGGGGGGG